TCAAACCTTAGTCATTGGAATGTTTTCTATTACTTTAAGAAAGAGCTGTTCCTTTTATTAGATTCACCTTAATTTCACTTAGACTGGCAGAGAAATGAGGGTCATTACATGAAGAACCATAAGCCCACTTTTTTTTTCTTTTTCTCCACTTTGGGCACCTAATTCTTACAACCCCATCTCCTTACTGTGGGCTTGGATTAGCACAAAAGATCAGTTTCTTTCTCTCAACATTTGTCTTCATACTTATGGGGAGACAATATTATTTGAAAGTCTATCACACTCACTTAGATTCATAGAATCTCAGATCCATAGTGGATCTTAGATGTCATCTGGTGTGACTGACTCATTTTACAGATGCACTCCTTGACCTCCTCTTCATTCACGTAAAATATTGGAGTTTTCAAATGGTTGGTTCCCTAGTCCCTGGTTTTCTTAGTGCTTCCCTAGAATATGATCAGTAGGAAGATTCCTAGCAAATGACTGAAAGAGAGTTTTATTTCTAAACCTAGCTTTCCAACACCACCTCAAAACAGCAAGTAATGCATCAAATAGAGTAAAAGGAAAATAAGAAAAACAGAAGAGGGGAAAGGAAAGAACTCATCATTAGGAAAACCTCATAGCAAACCTAGGAGTCTAGGGGAAAAAAATAAGTAAATGACCAAAAAAAAGATCTCAATACAAGAATAAATATTATGCCTGTTGATTGTATGATTGATTGAGTAGTTCTTTAGGAACCATTACTAACTCACAAACTTGCTTCAGACTTAACCTACTTTTTAGAAAGAGTTTTCTGTGACAATACCAGTTTAAGACAATAACGCTTTTTCCCCCCAAAGTATTCTCCTCAAAAAGCTCACTATTCACATCATAAATTGAATTTTCATAATTATCAAGAAGAAACAAACCAAACTTTGATCAACATATCAATCAATAATAAAATGCCCTAATGTAACATTTTTAATACCTATAAGGTACCAATAATGGATATGGAACTCTGAGCATCACATGCGATGGGAAGAGGAACAAGCATTTATTAAGCGTGTACTGTGTCCCAGGCACTGCACTAGATGCTTGTCATTCATTCCTGTCCTTGGTTAGGCAATGTGGAGTCATCGATCGAGGGCCAATCTTAGAATCAGAAAGTCTTGAGCTTAGGTCTGTGAACGCCATAGTTACCCATGAACTCCATGAACCCCAATTTGAAGACAGAGTCTGGTCTAAGAAAGAGACAAATGAAATCAGGGTGCATGTGTCCATGGAATTACTCTTTTTCTTAACTTTTTTTTGGGGGAGAGCAAGACAGTTGGGGTTAAATGACTTGCCCAGGGTCACACAGCTAGCCATATCAAGTGTCTGAAGCCAGATTTGAACTCAAGACCTCCTGACTCCACTGTGCCACCTAGCTGCCCCTGACAATAACTCTTTAAGATAACACTTAAACAGAGATAGCAAGGCCTTTCAGCCAAAGACAGAAAGTGGTGTCACCACTCCAAAGATTTGAGTATATGCCACTGTAGGACAGGAAGGTCCATTGAACTAACAGATTTTAGCCATCACATTTTACTTTAGTTTGAAGTAGCTCTACCAACTGGTGACATCACACTGAAAAGTAATAAAGTTTGCACTACAACATCCTTCTCCTGCATTTATTCACTCTCATTTATGTTTGCTTATGCCTTTTTACTTATAAATGAACTAGGCTGTATGTAAAGCTTATACCTATTTATGAAGACTTCCCCATCTTCCACCCCCATTCCTCCATCTCTATCTCTATCTCTCTATCTGTCTCTGTTTCTGTGTCTCTGAGTCTCTGTCTGTCTGTCACACACACACACACACACACACACACACACACACACACACACACACTGTCACTATAATTATAGACCAGGCCATTAACAAAATGTCCTGATGGTCATAAGCAACAGACATCTCAAAGACAGTAGTACTACAAACGACCATCTACCTTCAAGGGCCTTTGCAATCTCCGCATCAAGTTCTTATCTTTGCCCATCAGTTTCTAGAGCCCCTCGGTAACCTCATTGTGGGACTTCTGCTTTCCCTAGTCAGATGTCCACTATAACAACTACTTTCAATTTTACCCCACCCTAGTGCCAACTGGCAACTCCATTTGAGACTCCCAGTTGCAGCACTGGTCTGTACCAGTGTCTCAGGCATTGCTGACTTGCTTAAAATGAGACCCTTTCAACTTAACTAGCCTACTCAATACAAATGGAAAATCTGACTCAACCAATCAACCAACCCACCAACCAACCTTTATTAAATACTTGCTATGTGCTAACAGCTGGGGATAGAAATGTATGGAATGAAACAATCCTTACTCACAAGAAACTTACACGCCCAACTCAGTTTATTAGAGGTAGTGTTGTATATTTTAAAGAGCACTGGATGTTGAGTGAGAAGATCTAAGTTCAAGCTCAGCCACTAATGCACTATTTATCCCTTCTGAGCTTCTCAGAGCCTGTAAAACAAAGAAGATGGACTAGGTGATCTCTAAGGTCCCTTCTAGCTCTAAACTATGATTCTATGCTGGTGTAGGCCTTAAATAAGAATACTGGATTATATATATACATGATTTTATTTATTTTATTTTTAATTTATAAAATTAAACAAACATTTCCATAACAAAGTAGAATTTGAAAAAGATAATTGCACATGAAGCTGCAAATCAGTTTTATGTATTTTTAATACCACAAAAAGAGATTGCAGTTCTGATTCAGTTCATCCCAATGGTCTCAGCCAAAAGTCCCTTAACAGCCTTAAGAAGAGGTGGCACAGAGGAAAGTTTAAATACAAGTAATCTATCCAATTGGCAAAATAAAACCAGATAATAATAGCTAGCATTTCCATAAAGCTTTCAGGTTTGCAAAGCTCTTTACATATATTATCACATTTGACTCATAATTCTACAAGGTAGGTGTTATATATCATACCTATTTTGTAGATGAATGTACAGATAAATGAACTCAACTCTGCGCTCTTTGGCCTTCAAGGGCCTTCCTCACACTGCAAATCTCAGACTTCAGACCAGTTGCAACACATTGAAAAAACCCCAGAGGAGAGACACAGAAATGTGTGCATTTATTTAAAGCTTGCTGCTAAGCAGCACTGTGCATTTTATAATTATCTGCTGCAGCTTATAAGTTATTAGCCATGGCAGATTGGTTTTGAGGAGATGGAAAAACAAATTGGATTCACTACACCTTATGGTATATCCATCTGATGGTCTAATACAAAGGAACTAGTAACACAATGCAGTCACAGAAGAGGCATAGGTGTCAATTTATTTTACTCCAGTGGAAAGAAGGAAGGAAGGTAGGAAGGAAGGAAGGAAGGAAGGAAGGAATTATTAAATTCCTATCATGTTCAACACACTGTGCTAAGTCCTTTACAAATATTATCTCCTATCTCCTCACAACAAGCCTGGGAGATAGGTGCTATTATTATGTCCATTTTACAGATGAGGAATTTGAGTCAGACAGAGATTAAGTGACTTGCCCAGGATCACAGAGTTGGTATCCAAGGCCAGATTTGCTAGCATCTGCCTGACTCCAGGTCCAGTACTCTATCCACTGCACTACCTGGCTGCCTGTAGGCTAGGTGCATTACAACCTTAAATGAGGTAAACGCTCCCCGTTGGTCTGTATGGGTGGATGTGCTTCTTGAAAGACCTGATAGCCTTGTTGTTGGTCAGTCATTTCAGGTATGTCTGATCCTTTGTGACCCTATTTGGGGTTTTCCTGGCAAAGATGCTGGAGGGATTTGCCATTTCCTTCTCCAGCTCATTTTACAGATTAATGAACTGAGGCAAACAGGGTTAAGTGACTTGCCCAAGGTCAAAAACAGCCAGGAAGTGTCTGAGGCCAGATTTGAACTTCAGAAGATGAGTCTTCCTGACTCCAGGCCTGGAGCTCTATTCACTGTGCCACCAGGCTGCTTCTCTCTAACATCCTACCTAGGATTAACTAAGGCCCCATTAGTGAGTAAGCCCACCCACTAAAATAATTAAATCCTCACCATCTGCAGTAAACACATGTAGATAGTAAGGAAATTACAAATTTCCTCATCCCAGGTTGCAGCACTGAGGTATAGAGAGAAAAGGGGTTTTTTTGAAGCAGGAAATCAATACTAAAGGTTATTTACCCTCTAGCAAATGGAAAGAAGCTTTGTTTGTTCTTCTAATAAGCACTCTTCACCCTCTGTTCCTAGAAGGAACCCCAACTTAGTAGACTTTATTCCCTTTTAAATAACGCTCAGGATAGCTTAGACTCAGTCTTCATCCTTTCATCAGAAGGTCCAGAGGGCCCATAACTATACAGCAAGGTAGGGTTTTCATGTTTATTTGCTTCTCCCATAACAAGAAGATATCTTCCAAAAGCAGCTAGCGAAAGGACCCAAGTAGGTCCTTCAGCAGGCAATGGGAAAATTCAAAATTTCACCTGAATCTCAGAGATTTATTTTAGGGTCACTCATTGGGAGATCAAAAGTATAAGGCCTAGCTGAATAATGGAATTTGAGAGCTAGAAGGTACCTCGGTAGCCACCTAGTTGAACCCATACTCAAAAGAATCCCTACTACAACCTACCAGAAAAAATAGCTGCCCAGTCTTAACTTAAAGATCTCTAAACAGATGGAACCCACTACTACTCAAGAGGCCCATTCTACCTTTTGATGGCTTTGATTGTTAGGAAGGATTTTGTTCATTTGTTTGTTTTTGTTTCTCTGATAGCAAGTCTAAATTTGTCTGTTTGCATTGCTTCTGGTTTTTTCCTCTGAATCCAGACTTAGTAATCTAAGCCCATGTACTCCAACACAAGGCTTTTTTTTTCCATTCAGCATTTTTCAGAACAAAGTCTGTCCCAGAATTTCAGCTACAAGAGGAAAAAGCTGCCAACCCTGCTTCCAGGACCACCTTGATGGAGGTCAAAAGGAATTAAGAATATTTTTACTTCTACAGTCAAGAAATAGAAAGTACTCACCGGGGAAGGGGTGCTGAACAATGCAGGGAAAAATAACTCTATGTGCTCACAGAGCTTCTCTGTGAACATAAATAAAACCAGACTGTGCCTTTTGCTGCACAAGAGCTTGACAAGCATTAAGAGTGAGGTGTGGATGGAAAATAACCCTAGCTGTACTCAAAGTACCAAGTGTACAAGAACAAAGTGGCTACACACAGACCCAGGAACTGGCTCTCAGCCAAAATGTTTGCTCCCAGGCCATCCTCTTGATGATGGCCAGAACAAAATCATACCACTGAGGGATGGGTAAGGGATCCTGTGTCACCATGATTCATTAACTCATTTGGTTGTTTTGTACTCAAACTCCCTGGGATGATGAGGCATCATGGGCTCTTTGGAATAATCACTGAATACAAAATAAAAGAGCTAAGTCAGCTTGGGCTCCAAATGTACTCTGCAGTGTCAGGTTCAGAGTGGCTCATTTGGAAGAGGCCATGGGACTTGTCACTTCCTGGCCTAAGGCACACTGTAACAGGAAACCATATGCAAGCTTTCATCTGGAAGCAAAAACCACAATGGGAAGCAAGCACCGACGTCACAGCGCTGAATCCCTGAGGTAGGGAAAAAAAATTAAACTTGAAGATTTCTTAAAGAGGGATATCTAAACTACATTAATAAGTCAGGTTCTGGGGAGGAAGATGATCTGAAGTATGCATCAAGATTATAAAGAGGGAATAGAAAGAGAGAAAGAAATGGTTAAAAAAAAAACCTGTGACCTCAGTTTGGACTGGGAGAAGAAAGGAAGGGCAGAAGAGTAAGATTGGACTATTCCAATTATAGATTAATAGTGATGATTTCATTCCTTTTCTTTCCCCTCCTGTTTGTTTGTTTGTATGTCTGTTTTTAAAGATGGGTAAAAAGGTATCAGATGGGGCAGTTAGGTGGCATAGTGGATAGACAGGGCCTGGAATGAGGAAAACTCATCTTCCTGAGTTCAAATCTGACCTTAGACACTTACTAGCTGTGTGACCCTTGGCAAGTCACTTAACCCTGTTTGCTTCAGTTTCCTTGGCTGTAAGATGAGTTGTAGAAGAAAATGGCAAACCCCTCCAGTATCTCTGCCAAGAAAACACCTAATGGGGTCACAAAGAGTCAGACATGATTAAAATAGCCAAACAACAACACGGAAGGGACATTTAAATGAGAAAACTTTATAGTAGTATATGATAAAGAGAAAAGCATGCCTAAAATTTATAATCATGAAAGTGAGTGGCATGAACTTATCCATAACATAAAGAAGGGTAGCAGAATGTGGATTAGAAAGCAAATTAAACATATTTTGCTTACAAGAAGCATATTTTTAACATTAAGATTCACACATTGTTAAAATGAGGGGCTGGAGAACAATCAGGTGAATCCACAGCAGAGATGGCAAATCATGGTCTCAAAGAAGGCAATAGCAAAAATAAGCCTAGTTAAAAGAGATAAGCCAAGAAACTACGTTATGCTCAAAGGCATCACAGACAATGAAAAATAACAATAAACATATGCATCAAATGGCACAGCATCTAAATACTTAAAGGAAATCTAATGGAAGTAGAGGGAAAAGTAGTAAAAAATAATGATGATGATGATGATGATGATGATGATGATGATTGTTGGGGGCTGTGATATGACTCCTTTCAGACTTAGATAAATATAACAGAAGGATAAACAAAGAAGAAAGGAACCTGAATAAAATTTCAGAAGAGGAAGAGAATAAACATTTATGTGACAAGCACTATGCTAAGTGCTTTCACAAATATCTCATTTGATCCTCAAAACAACCTTGCCAGATGCTATTATTCCCATTTTACAGTTGAGGAAACTGAGGCAAACAGATGTTAAATGATTTGCCCAGGGTCATACAGCTAGCAAGTGTCTGAGGATAGATTTTAATTCAGATATTTCTGCCTCTAGGCCCAATGCACTCTATAGAAATGGTTAACCTCTGGCAATTATAGAATGAGAATAATAAGCAGCAGACATATTTCTCAGCTTTGCATGTTTCTATTACAAAAACTGACCATGTGCTAGGGCATAAAGAACTTGTAAATAAATAGAGAAAAGCTGAAATATTAAGCATTCATATATATTATTCATCACAATGCAATAAAAATTATAATCAATACGCATACATGTAGAAAAGATGAAGACATAAATGGAGACTAGATAATTTAATCCTAAAGAATGTTCAGGCCAAAGAACAAATCATAGAAACAATAAATTATTTTAATCAAAGAAAATGACAACAATGAAATCAAATAATAAAACTTTTGGGATGTAGCCAAAGCAATCCTTAAAGGAAAAATGTGTATCTCTTAATACTTTCATCAACAATGGGAAGAAAAAACAATCAATTAATTGGGCATGCAAGTAAAAGAACTAGAAAAATAACAAATGAAAAACCTAAATAAACCCCAAAATAGCAATTCTGAAGATAAAAAATATGAGATCAACAAAATTGAAAGCACAAAAATTAAATTGGTTCATAAAACTAGGAACCACTTTTTTTTTAGAGATTAATAAAATGGCAAACCTTTAGCTAATTTTATTTTAAAAGAGATAGG